ACTTCATAGGACCTAAGTCCATTAAGTAAGTTATTGACATCCCTGAGCCTCTAATTCCTCATCTGTAGAATAAGGATAATAAAAAGACAAAAATGTTATCAAGCCAGAGGAAAATTCTGTATTTTAATTTTTGGGGTAAAATATAAAGCTCTATGGAAATGTAAAATAATTCAATGATAATTTAGAGTTTTTCAATACAAATTAAAAAAACACTTAGAGAAGTTTTTTGTTCTCATGTCAAACTTTAGACAGAGGGATCAAACATATTGGTATATAGTTTCAGCTCCACCATTTACAAGATATTTTTATTGTCAAAGATTTCATTTGGCCAACACATCCATAATGTAGCCTAAGGTATCAAAGTTTTATATCTAGTAGTTTAAATGATTTTTTTTATGATTATACAGTTGTCATTTGGCAGGAACAGAATTCTCCATTGTAATATACAAACTTGTTGGATACAGTGATGACAGAACAAACTTTGGACATTTAATGACTGTTCTTTTCCATATACATTCATAGATATTATTGTGAAAATATATAATGAATAAAGGAATCTGGTGGCCATGTTTATTTTATTGTAGCTTTTGAATCTTTAAATCTTCAGACTATGCAAGTTAGATTTAGCATATTCACATTTAGTGATTTTTTTAGTGATTGCATTTTTCAAGTGGCTATTTTAGGGTGACACCGTGGATTGCTTATTTAGTAGCCATTCCCATCCTTCCTTGGTGGCAGAGATCTGATTTTGTTTGGAGATACACTCATCTTCCCTCCCACAAACTCAGTGTTAGATCCTGATTGTAGTAAATAAAAAAGACAACATATATATAAAATTAATCCTTGTTGAGACATACAGCTGTAAATCAATTTTTTTTATTGCTATAAAAATATTTTAATATGTATTTATATCAAAATACATCAATCTATTTTCTTAAAAATTGGTATAGTGGTTATTATTATTGGCTTATTGTTATTATTTAATGGTTTATATTAATGATTATTATTACTCTTTGCTATTATGACACTACTGTCATGGACACTCTTATATATGTCCCTTGAAGCCATGAACTTTACTCTTTCTTTCTTCAAATAAATAACTTTTGGCTTGTTTATCCTCTCTGCTATGTTGTAGCTTCCTATTTTGTTACGTTTTCTATTTTCATTTTTAAATGAGTTTATCCTGTTTAATCTAAACTTTGACTTGTTTTAAACTTTTATATTAAATACATCTTCTTAATAGAGCAGTATTTCCATGATCATTGAGAATTTTAGCCTTTAACTGGCACTTAAAAATGTTGTATTCTTTCTCCTTTTTTTAAAAAATTAAAGTATAATTGACATATAACCCTTTTCAGGTGTACAACATAAATATTCTATATTTTTATGCATTGAAAAATGATCACAATAAGTCTAGTTAACCTCTATCATCATGCAGAGATATATAATTTTTTCTTGTGATAAGAGTTTTTAAGATCTATTCTTAGTAACTTTTAAATATGCAATACAGTATTATTAACTGTAGTCACCATCTGTTCTTTACATCCCTATCATTTACTTATGTTAGAGTCAAAAGTTTGTACCTTTTGACTCCCTTCACTCATTTTGCCCTTCCTCCCACCGGGATCCTGGAAAGTACCAGCCTGTTCTCTGTACCTACGAGCTCACATGTTTTGCTTTGGTTTTTTAAATTCCATTTACATATGAGATCACATGGTATTTGTCTTTTTCAGTCTGACTCATTTCACTTAGCATAATGCATTCAAGTTCCTTTCATGTTGTTGAAAATATTAATAGCAAGATTTCATTCCTTTTTATGGCATAATAGTATTCCATTATATATATGTGTGTGTGTATATATACATGTATATGTATGTATACATATACATACATGTATATGTGTGTGTGTATATACATATATGTGTATATGTGTGTATATATATATATATATACACATACTTTCTTTATCTATTCATCAATATATGGATACATAGATTGTTTCCATACCTTGGTTATTGTAAATAATGCTGCAATGAACAAGGGAGTGCATATATATTTTTGAGGTTTCCTTCCCTATCTCCATTTCTATTCAATAATGCAATGAAGAGGCCTTCCAGGCAGTGAAAAATATTTTTAAAAAAGAAAAATAATCATTACTTATCATATGGGGATATTAATTTTTTTTATATAGGCTTATATGTTTTGAGATGCTATAGGTTCATATCTAGACTATCACAATAAAGTGAATATAGCAGTAAAGGAAGTCACATGATATTTTTTGTTTCCTAGTGCAAAAAAAGTTATGTCTACTCTATACTATAGTCTATTAAAAGTTCAATGGCATTGTGTTTAAAAAACAATTTAAATACAGTAATTAAAATATTATTTAAAAATGTTAACTATCATCTGAGCCTCCAGTGATCTGTAATCTTTCTTGCTAGTGGAAGATTTTGCCTCAATGTCAATGGATCCTGACTGATCAAGGTTGTGATTGCTTCAGATTGGGGTGGTTGTGTACTCTTGAGACTCTCGAGTCTTCTCCAGCACCATAATTCAAAGAAATCAGTTATTTGGTGCTTAGCCTTCTTTATGTTCCACATCTCACATCCATACATCACTACTGGAAAAGCCATAGCTTTTACTCTATGGACATTTGTTGGTAAATTAATGTCTCTGCTTTTGAATATGCTGTCTAAGTTTGTCAAGCTTTTCTTCCAAGGAGCAAAGACCTTTTAATTTTATGGTTGTAGCCACCATGCACAGTGATTTTGGAGCCCAAGAAAATAAAATCCTCTTCACTTTCTGCCATTAAAGTAGCATCATCTGCATATCTGAGGTTACTGATATTTCTCCTGGCAATTTTGATTCCAGCTTGTGATTCATCCAGCCCAGCATTTCACATGATGTACTCTGCATATAAGTTAAATAAGCAGGGTGACAACATTCAGTCTTGATGTACTCCTTCCCCAATTTTGAACCAGTCTTTTGTTCTATGTCTGGTTCTAATTTTTGCTTCTTGACCTGCATGTACGTTTCTCAGAGGACCATAAGGTGGTCTGAGATTCTCATCTCTTTAAGATCTTCCAGTTTGTTGTGATCCAAACAGTCAAAAGCTTTAGCATAGTCAATGAAGCAGAAGTAGATGTTTTTCTGGAGTTCCCTTGCTTTTTCTATGATCCAACAGATGTTGCAATTTGATCTCTGGTTCTTCTGTCTTTTCTAAAAGATGTTCTTAATGATATCTAAAGTGTTGAATTCTTTCTGGAAGGATTTCAGTAACCAGGTCCATCAAATGAATTACTCTCTATGAAAACATAGCTTACAAAATGTATTTCTTAAATAAGATTTAAAGGTCAAAGTTGTTCCTTGATCCATGGCCTCAGAATGAATGTTTTGTTAGCAGACGTGGAAACAACATTAATCTCATTGTCAATCTTTATTAGATCTTTTGGGTAACTATATACATTGTAAATAAGCAGTAATATTTGGAAAGGAATCTTTTTTTTTCCTGAGCAGTAGATCTCAGTAGTGGGCTTAAAATATTTGGCAAACTACATTGTTAGCAAATGTGCTATTATGCAGGCTTTGTTGTTCCATTCACAGAGCATAAACAGAATAGATTTAGCATAATTCTTAAGAGCCCTAAGATTTTCAGAATGGTAAATGAGCATGAACATCAGCTTAAAGTTACCAGCTCCATTATTCCTAACAAGAGAATCAGACTGTCCTTTGAAGCTTTGAAGCCGACTATTGACTTCTCCTCTCTAGCTATCAGGGCTTCCCAGGTAGCTCCATAGTGAAGAATCCACCTGCCAATGCAAGTGATGCAGGAATCTTGGGTTCAATCTCTGGGTCAGGAAGATTCTCTGTTATGGCAAACCACTCTGGTATTCTTGCCTAGAAGATTCCATGGACAGAGGAGCCTGGCAGGCTACAGTCCATGGAGTCACAAAGAGTCAGACGTGACTTAACATGCATAGGCACACTCTAGCTACCTAAGTCTCAGATAGCATTCTCCTCTTATATAAGAATAACTGTCTACACAGAAAAATCAATTATTTAGTGCAGCCACCTTCATGAATTATCTTAGCTGTATCGTACATCAGCATTTGGCACTCCATAATGGACTTGTATGTCCTTTTTTCCATAAATCTAATAGCTTTTTTCCATAAATCTCATGAACCAACCCCTGCTAGTTTTAAACTTTTCTTCTCCAGCTTCCTCACATCCCTTACCTTTCACAGAATTGAAAAGTTAGGGCTTTTCTCTAGATAAGACTTTGTCTTAAGGGAATGCTGTTTGATCTTCTATTCAGACTATTAAAACTTTCTCCATATCAGTAGTAAGGTGGTTTTATTTTCTTATCATTCCTGTACTTTAATTTCCTTCAAGAACTTTTCCTTTGCTTACACAACTTGACTTTCCTAGCTTTCAACATGCCTTCATTACTAAGTTTAATAATTTCTAGCTTTTGATTTAAAGTGAGAGACATGCGACTCTCCCTTTCATTTGAATACTGAGATATGTCTGTAAATTTAGTTATTTTTCAAACAGTTCACAAATTTAAGAAAAAGAAAAAGCAAGTTAATTAGAAATTTTAGTTAAGACTTTCGCATAGCAAACAAAACTTATTCTAGATTTTCCAAGTTTTGAAAATATATACATATATGAAAATATATTTAGAAACATATTATACCCCAACCATGTAATGTTTTCAAATGCAACTAACTAGTCATCATTGTAAGTATTCAACTTGTAAATACTGATTCCAGATTTCAAAACATCTCTAAAAATTCTAGCTTATTATTATTTCAGTTCCTTTTTCTGTGTTATCAAAACCAGTGCTTTTGAAAAATTTGAAGACTCATAATTTTCTTGAGGAGAATTAACTAACTTTTATGCTACATAATTGCAAAAATGTTTTTCTTTTGTAGATTTATAAACACTAATTAGGATAATAAATTTAATATGCTTTAAAAAATTCTATATCCTTTACTTACCTGTAGTCATCTCTACACCTGTCTCCAGTATGTCTCCATGTGATAATTATATTTGGGGAGCAATAACAAGAGCTATTTGCTGCAAGAATCACTGACCAAAACAGGAGTGCCAGGCCAAAAAAAAAAAAGAGAGAAAAAACATATTTGGGTAGGAAGCAGAGAGATGATGATAAGACAAAAAACCATAAAGTATAGCTCACAAATTTTCTAATTTATATTTTTAAATGTTTTATAACAAGTCTATATACATCAAGAAGAGGTAAACTTTCTTGATTTTAAACTTATTTTCCTACCAAGATAGAGTGAATTAATCTTATGGGAATCGATAGTTATCATTCTTTCATTGTATATATTTAGATGCTTAATTGGTTACTATAGTTATTACTCATAATTTGGTTTCTTATAGGTCAATAAAGTTTGTAAGGAAGAAATACTGTCTCATCTTCTTTTAAGGTGATTTTGTTTCAAAGAAGATTTACTAAAGCCTGCTCAGATGGAGGGGTTTATGAGAAGGGATGATGAGTGGAATCTTGTGAAAATCTAAGAACTGGAATTACGACAGTGTTACAGAACCAGGCCTCTAACTTTTTGAGTGATTCCAGCAACAGCCCTGTGTAACAAATAGCCCCAGTTGCTGTGGTTTTAAACAACAAATATTTATTCCTCATACTCAGGTCTGTTGGTCAACTGTAACTCTTCTGGTCCCATCTGGACTCCAGGCTGCCAGAGGACTAACATATGTTCCTCCCACAGATCTCACCCTGGGGCCCAGGTCTCTAGGTGATCAGCACGTTTACGACCTCTGCTACCACTGTGCCTGCTGACAGTCCACTGGCCAAAATGATTCACCAAGTCCATGGGCAGTGGGGTAGAAGAGAAGACTCCACACAAAGTGGGAGGTTACTGAAAATTACATGCCAAAGAATGTGAACATGTGTTTTCTGTTCATATGTATTCTGTTCATCAAAGTAAGAAGACCAATAATCCAGTCTACCGCAATTATTGTGGAGGGTGTTATGAGATTTAAGGCTATTCTGAGGCTCTTCACAAAGGATTTCATAGCCTTAATTTGGGAGGATTACCTAAGTCATTTATCCTATGCTTCTTCCCTCTTTGTTATCCTCTGGACCACAGGATCACGGAGTCTAGTCAGTAATATGATGCATTCCTCACCTGTTGTATTGAAACTCCAAGGAGTCTGAAATGGTCATGTAGCAGTATCTGCTTCCAGTTCAGAGGAACTACTATTTGATATCATGATGGAAGCATCTCATTTTCAGATTTCAAACTTTTAGACATGCAGACTGTCTATCAAAAGAGTATCTTGAGTGTAAGTCACATCTTGTAGTTGTGGATGGTGGCAACTTTGCTCCTGTGTTTTATTTTTTTTTACCTTGACTATGGGAGAACCCTTGCTACCTACTAGTTATTTATTTGGATCATATGCTAAGCATAGTGCAGAACAGGGAAGATTGGTGTGCTGTAGTCCATGGGGTCACAAAGAGACACGACCTAGTGACTGAACAGCAACAATAACAATGGTAATTATATACGACAACCTTGCAAATCAACAAGTGGATCGATAGCTGAGTATTTAACAAGGCATTTCAATATCTTATTAGGTCAGTGCCTTATAGATGATAAATGAATGATGTGACCAGGAAATGCAATTTCAACTTTCCTAGCTAACTGTAGTAGGGGGATATTTTCAGCATACTTAAAAAGCTGCTTTGTTTCCTTCAATAATGCTCTTAACATTTTATCAAAATGAAGTAATTTACTAGAATCTGTGTTTAAGGCCCGACCCATGTGTTGGTTGTCGGACTTCACATCACTTAATTTTTTAGAAGGATACTGTTCCCTTATTCACAAAATGGACAAAAAGAAAACTATTTGGCTTTCGCAGTTTAAGCTCATTCATTTACATGTCAAAACCTGGCTAAAAGTCCACAAAGAAACTTTCTAGAAAGTAAAAACAAGAAAATGGAAGGGAAGAGGTCAACTGGGAGAAGTCAAGACATTTTCTTTTGGCTTTTATTTTTTAAAACTTTTAAATAATATTCTATATATGTAAGGTATAGTACATGATGTTTTGATATACATAGTTTGTATATGGCTATTTGTATACAGTTATATAATGACTACAGTCAAGCAAATTAGCATATTTATCTACTCACATAGTTACTTGTTTTGTCTGTTTTTTGTGGTGAAAGCACCTGGAATCTACAGTCTTAGAAAATTAAGATGGCAGGTGAATGAGTAGAAACTGCTTCATAAGATTGATGAAAGAGGAAACCCTAGTGGTTTCCCAACAAAAACAAACCCTTTGAGTTTTAGAAGGCCAGAAAAATCTCAGGAACTGGAGGCTTCTTAAAATGTGGGATGGATAATTAGACTTAAATCAAGAAGAATGGTTGGAAGTCTTTATGGGAGTAGTTGAATACCCCCAGGTACCTCCTCTGACAGAAAACAGGAGTTTTTGTCTCTAAAGAAACTGAATTAGAGGCTTGGAAATCAGCCTGGAGCACAGCTGAGAGTGCAAGCTAGGTGGTGCGCTCACAACAAAGGGATCAAGTTGATGTTTCCATTGTAATCATGAGACCACGTGATAGAATTTTGATGTTTTAACTTGACTAACCTGAATCCCCTTTGTAGTGTTTCTTGTTGGGGTGTGACACAGCTAGCAGCTGGAAGATAGTCATGATATAGCATGTACATGCCTTCTCTCAGTTATAAAATCAAACTCTAACCTAGGTTCTGCTGTGAAGATATTTTGAAGATGTGAAGTCACTTCTTAATCCACTGACTTTGAGTTATTCAAAATGATTTTGGTAGCTCTACCTAATTAAGGTAAGACCTTTAAAAGAAGGCTTAGGACATTTTTGGATGCTGTGACTCCAAAGATCTGCTATCTTTTCGATTGTTCTCTCTGACCCTGGATCTTCCTTCTAGACTAAAACATTTGGACAAAAAAATTCAACCAGTGCCCATAGGGCTCCAGCCTGATTGTGATCTTCTTTTCCTGAACTCCTGACCTATGGACTTTGAACTTGCACAGCCAGCCCCAGCAATTACAAGGCAATCCCCTGTAATATACCTCTTTATATATACACATATTAGATAGATATAAACATATCTACATTTATATCCATATCTATTTACCTTAATTTATATATTTATATCTCCTACTAGTTCTGCTTCTCTGGTTAAACCATGACGTATATAGACCATCAGTATTCTTCTAACTTAGCTTCCAGGATGCCAACAGGAATACTTGGATGAAGAAGGGTGCCTCCAACATAATTTCATAGTTTTCAACTGTTCAAAACTAAGTCTTTATCAGACAACAACTTCTTTTACTTATATTGTCTTTGATCCAAGTTTTGCATTTCCCTCTATATGTGTGTATGCTAAGTTACTTCAGTTGTGTCTGACTCTTTGAGACCCCATGGACTGCTGTTAATCAGGCGCCTCTGTCCATGGGATTTTCCAGGCAAGGATACTGGAGTGGGTTGCCATGCCCTCTTCCAGGAGATCTCCCTGACCCAAGAATTGAACCTGTGTCTTTTACATCCCCTGCATTGACAGGGTTCTTTACCACTAGTGCCACTTGGGAAGCCCCTTCACTGTATACATTTTACCTTAATATTTAAAAATTACAAAAAAGAAAAATAAAAAGAGAATGGATATAAAGAAATATTCATTAAATCTAGAACATTCAATTGAACTAATAGGATTTTTAGAGAAAACCAACAGTATACAAGTATAAATCAGGTGGTTTTTTAAGTAATGAAGGATAACAATTCCCAGATTGAAATGGCTCCACTAAGAAACCAGAATGATGAATAAGAAATGACCAGCATGAGGCCCCACATTTTGATATTTCAGAACTTTAATGAAAGAAGTTTTTAAAGCTCTCATAAAAAAGAACAGATTGCATATAGAAAATGAATAATCAGGATATCTTTGGCTCTTTCAATAGAAAGACCGAAGAGAAAAAGGTAGGCAAAGTTCTTGATGATTCTGAGAGAAAGCTTTTCTATGTAAGGTAATGGTAAATGAATTCTTAGAGGAAAAATATATACATTTTAGATTTAAAAGTTCTCAAAATGTAATTGTTTTGCTTCTTTCTCAGGAAGCTATCAGAGGATTTGCTCCATCCCAGTCAGGACTTAGGTCAGGAGAAGAGAAATATTCAACAAGGATTCAGTATATTGGGATGGACAGGAAATACCCAGATGATGGCTGTACCGCAGCCTGGAAAACTGTCCAGTTTGGGATAAGAGGCCTGAAGGTTCAGGAGAAATGTATTTTTTTTTTAAACTGATGATATATTTACCTGAAAATAAATATAATCATATTGAGTATTGATAGAAGTTCAGAATAAAATCATTTGATAGGTATGTAGGAAACTCAGAAAAAATATTACCTTTATATTAACTTAATAGGGAAAATGAACAAAACCAAGGAGTTGAAGAAAATGGAGAGATAAAGGAAATTTAGTACTTTCTACCATAACTGTAAATAATTTTAAGTGGTCACAGTAATATAAATGCTAAATATTGATTTAACAAAAATTATATTTTATAACTTCTGTAAGTATTTGTGTGTTTGGGAGAGGGTATTCAGTACTTGATTCTTATCTATCCTAGAAGTCCATACTTCTACAACTGAACATTTGAGAAATATAAATGCAAAAATACTACTTATAAACATAGGGAAGCGATCAGTGAGAGAGCTGAAAATGGTTTATTCTCAGGAAGCAGGTTTTGAAGGTGAAGGGTCAAGCAGCAGCTATTTTTCTTTCTTTTTTTTTTNGAAGACAATGGGCTGCTTTTCTGGGCGCCTGATGTCCTCTGCTAGCGATCAGAAGTTGTTTTGTGAAATTTGCTCAGCGTTCAAATGTTCTTTCGATGAATTTGTAGGGGAGAAAGTGGTCTCCCCGTCCTATTCCTCCGCCATCTTCTACTCCAGTCTCTGTTTTTCATCTGATTGAAATTTTATGCAAATAAATATCAGGTGAAAACTAAAATAAAGTAAGAAAATACTCAAAGGATCGCTCTAAAGATCAAATGTGATAACGTGGTATACCTTCGTTAAACTGTAATTCACTATGTAAGTATTTGTTGTCATAATTAGAAGCACACAGTGGATAAATCACCCTCATAGGAATTAAGATAATGTAGTTGTTGTCATAGTCCTGCCATGAACCGTCTCATGCACTTAAAACATCAATGTATTCAACTAGGAGATAAAATATCAATGTCTACCTATCCACTCCATAGAGTTCTGTAAAGCTCAAGTGTATCTATATAGAAGTATTTCACTCACTGCAATTGCTGTTCTTCTAAAGGGTGATTGTTATCTCCTATGATCTGTCTTACTAGATTGGATGGATGGGGAATTTTAGGCTTAGACTCATGTTTTTCAAAGAGATTTATTTCTGCTTCCTGGGATTGGTTATCTGGGGGTTTTCATTCATTCATTTCCAGAGGAACTAATGTAGGAAGGCAAAAGATGCTTCTAGATGCTGGACCAGGCACTGTTTTCTGTCCTAACCTGCCTGTCACCCTGGCTCCTTGATTAACAGGGGTTTACTCTTATTGTCTGTATCAAGCAGGAAAATAGGAGCATAAATATTTAACCTTCAAAAAAGAGACTCATTTACTGGAAGTCTGACTGTATGAACCAGGGTTATAAATCTTTCTGAGGTATTTCAATATGCATAAGAGAATGAAACCACATGAATGACGGAGCTAACTTTAACCTTTGATTGTTTAACAGCATAGTCATTTCTTCCTCTCTTAAAAAAGGGGGGGGACTCTGAACATATATGCTATTGTCAGATATACATGATGAAATTTATCTTTTAAAGTGGCCCCTGCTTTTTTATCCCCCTGTGAGCTGAAATTTATATCAAATCTGTCAAGAAGCTGAGAGGAAATTATATTTTACAGTTGCCTATAGGTTTTGTTATGCAGGAAAAAAATCATTTCACTTTGCTCACAATAGATTGAAAGGCAAATTCTCATTTTTTGGCTGCCTGTCAATGAGAAGAGGGCAGAAGGGGGATCTTCAGGACAAAGATAGGTGACAGAATCCTGGAGACTGAAGTCCATTGTGCTATGTATGTGTTCTTCCTGAGGGTTTATGTTTAATTAAAGGAATCTGCTAATCAGCAAAGATGAATTGAATTCTTTCTCTATGCACAATGCTGTCTTATATGGTAAGACAAAATTTAATTGAAATAGATGTAGAGATTGGGAAAATGCTTACAGACGCAAACTTAGGAGTAAACAGTAGCTGAAGCTGTAGGAAGGGATATAGAGGTCTTAAGGTCTCTTATGTGCAACTGGTTTTATATAGTATTTTATTTGACCATTGTGATCTTCTGTTACAATCTGTGTTCTGCATATGAGAATATTGAAATTCAGAGTTTAACTTTCCCAAAGTTACTCGACTGGAAAGTGGCAGAGCTGAAAAGAAACCTTGTTATTCTTGAGATTTTTTTCATTTTCTAACTCTTGAGTTTCATTTGGATTTATTTCAACACAGATTTACTGAATATCTACTATGAATCAGTCACAATGCTTAACCTCAGGATATTTAGAGTAGTTTTTATTAAAAGAGGTATGTTTTATCATCCAATGCTTAATTTACTGTATATTTATTTAAGGCTAGTATTAACTTCATATTAAACTTCATTCAAGTTTTGATTTGGAAGACAGTGGTCCATCAGGTGAAATACCTTATTTATTTGTTGTTCAAGTTTTAAGTTTCTTTTATCTTTATCTTTATAAACTCTTTATCTTTCCTTCATATTCTTCATCTTAACACATGGCTCCATTTTACACCCTGTTACTCAGGACACCACACTAGGCCTTCATACCTAGGTCCTTCTTTTCCCTCCTTCCCCAAAGACGATGCATCACCAAGTCTTGGCTGTACCGAAAGTGCCCTTCCTCTTCTCATCACCTCTCCACCTCTGCTTTCTGACCTTCTTCTGCAGAACTCTTTTCATCCTAGGCTCCAGGGCAACATTCTTCCCACTTCCATTTTGCCCTAACCAATCCATCTTCCATATAGAAGCTATGGCAGTCTTTTTCAAACATCAGGTTTTCCCTGTTTTGAACTCTCCCAAGGTTTTTTTCCTTTATTTTTTCTTTTAGAGCCCTCTCTAAACTCTCTGCCATGGGCACAGAGTTCTGAGCAGTCTGGTCCTTTCTGGTCTACACTGGCAGCCCACATCCCTTGCTCCCTGCCCATAAGGCTCTACCTGCCGTGTGTGTGAGTGTGTGTGTGTGTGAGTGTGTGTGAGTGTGTGTGTGTGTGTGTGTGTGTGTGGTAGTCGCTCAGTCGTGTCTGACTCTTCGTGACCCCATGGACTGTAGTCCTCCTGGCTTCTCTGTCTGTGGGATTCTCCAAGCAAGAATACTAGAGTGGGTTGCCATTCCCTTCTCCAGGTTCTGTGACTATGCCAGAGCCTTTTTCACATGTGGGTTTTTACACCTGATGTTTCCTTTGCTGGGAATGCCCATGCCTCCCCAGTTTTGCTGAAAGTCTGCTCCATCTTAATCTTCAGGTCTTCGCTCAAATGCTACCTTCTCAAGAAGACCCAAATTTCCTGTTTATTGTTCCACCTATTACTCTGTGTCTCAACTTGTCTTCATAGCATTAATGATAATCTGTATTTAACTTGATCACTTGATTATCCCTGAAAGGCCTGTCTACTATTTTTCTGTTATAGTCCTGGCATGGAGAATAGTGCCTGGTACCAAGGGTTACAGAATAAATATCTATTAAGTAGATACATGAGCCTGGGTAGATTGCTTTAAACATCTCAAGAGAAGAGAATCACGAAAACATGAGCTATCTCGGAACCTGACCCTATTCTTTCCATGGACACTTTTTTTATTTGACTTGCGGGCTTTGGACCTGCAGAGGTTGAGATTGGTTCCTGCTCAAAAAAACAAAACGAAACAATCTGTCGAGTGGTGCCTGTCTCAGCCCCTGATGCTGACGCCTGCTTCTGCCATCACACAGCTTTCACACCGCAGATGTGCGCGTGATGCCTGTTTTGCATCAGGAATAGGAAATGGACAGGGACACACACACGAAGATCTGTCTGCCTTCAGGGTAGTGAACCAGGTAAGGTGATGAACACAGAGACCAGACTGCCTGGGGGAAAAAGAATAGTACTTACCTCATAGGGTTGTTTGGAAGATTTAATGAGCTTATATTTGTAACTTCTTGTTGCCTGGTATAAAGCAACTGATATATAAAAGCCAAAATAAAAAATCAAGTATCCCCTTCCTTCCAGAAGCTGACAGATTTTTCGGTCACTTATCCCTGCTCGGTTTCAAACTTCATTGAGCATTTTTGCTCATTCATCTCACTTTTCTTGCCCAGTTCCTGGAGTATCTGTGGCCCCTGGGTTTCACTGGCTTAATTTCTGGTCTGTTGATGGTCTTATCTATTTTTCCTCCTGTTTTCTCATTTTTTCTAACTTGTTAATGCACCTAATAAACTGTACATCTGTTCAGAGCAGAGACTGAATGTATTTGTCTCTGTTTCTCCAACACAAAGCACAGTGCCTCGGTCATGACAGATGTACGATGAACAAATGAAGGAGTGAATAAAATGAATCTTGAATCATTATAAGCTCAGTCTTACATCTGGACTCTGAGCCTGCCCTCTGCCCAGGCCTTACTTCCAGTCCAATCCTTTAAATCTTTCCTCTGTGCTCTGATCTGGACTTTTTGCTCTGATACTTTTTTGCTTTAACTGTACACAGCTTTTGGGTTTTTTTTTTTTTCTAACAGCATCACCCTCCTTCCTTATAACTTAATTAGCTAAACNTAACCACATGGAAGCCAACTGATAGCCTGGCAGTAAGAGCAGATTCAAAAAAAGAAAAATATTTTTAAAAGTAACAATTATAGAAAGGGAATGCTTTACGGCCATTTAGTGTGGGTGTAGACTGTCTTCCTGAAGACACTCCTATCACCACTTAATGCTAAATTTGATACTCAGAATTACAATTCCTAATGGCAACTGCAATTATATCAATATATATTGATAAGGGATTTCACAGTTAGCAAGAGTTCCTCCCTGCCATATTAAAAAAATGGGTATATTTGCCATCTTAAAGTATTAAGCTTTAATGATCAGAAATTTACTCGTTAGAAATATGCTATTCTCCAGTAATTCTACATAAGCATAGCAAAGAAATAATAATTAATACAAATAATAATAACCACCTTGAGAGCTTACCTCCTTCCAGGTTTGGTTTGGAAGACCTTACATAATTGTCTCATGTAATTCTTACAATAATCCCTGAGGCACTACGTGTTTTTTCATAAGGACACTAAAAAACAGAGAAGGTAAGCATCTTACCTAATATCACACAGTGAAGGTAGAACTCAAATCTGTATAAATGGTCATGCTATATACTCTATACCACAACACCTCAGGTAACATAACAGCCAAATTCCAGGGATCCACTCTGAGTTCCTAGGGGGAAATATATAAGTGACAGAAAAATATTAGTAATATGTCGTTTTACTGAAAATCCAGAAAACAAAAATAAATACATTTAATAGAATTTCAGGGTAACATACATTTTATTATATGGTACAACATATAATCACATGTAATTTGGCATATAGTCAGCTTTCATAAACTAACGATTTAATGAAATAGCACTTTAAAACCAAGTGAATCATATTTTATATAAGAATAGGAAATAGGAGGCCCAGCACCAGGAATCTTGTGGATGCATACCTCACCTCTCCGAGGAAGAATTAATTCAAGAAACCATGGTTCAACACTTTGGGGGCCCGCTATACACCACAGGAAATTCCTTGTGAATACTAAGGGCTAAAGAGTTTAATCCATAGACGCTCACGGGAGACAGAAAATGCGCTTGACATGGGGGCAAAGAGCGGAGGTTTGTGTAATATGCAAGGTCTCCTGCCTCAAAGTAAAGGGGAAGACGCATAAACCGTATTCCCAGTCCACTTCCGGACTCTTCCTAAGTTCAGATTCTCCAAGATGGCTCCCAAGTCCCTGTCTGACCTGGCCTTGCTCACCCTCCGTCTTCTTCCCTCACTGCTTTGCCGGTTCCTCGAAGTTCCCCGAATGCCCTGGGCATGGAGGCCCATTTATCTCCACTAATTAAAAGGTGAGCGTCAGTGCTAACAGCTGGGTTCTGAGAAGGACGTTGGAGCCACAAATAAAGCAAAGGGCTCTTCACAATTCGGCACATTTCTTTTGCATCTTTCCCAGAAAAGCTTCCAAAAAACCCCCCAACTCCTTACCATGGTAGTCAAAATCGTTCTCTCCTGGCCCCAAACTACCTTTCTGGAAGTTTCTTCTCCTTTAGTCTTGTGCACACACTGGATGCATGTGGGCCAGGCAGCACCCCCCACAGCTACAACTTCCCTACCTACCTGCTGAGATTACAATCACTCGTTTTTTTTCTTAATTGAAGTATAGTTGATTTACAACATTGTGTTCATTTCTGGTGTACAGAAAAGTGATTCAGCTTTTATATAATGTATGTTATATATATGTTATACATATATTACTTATATGTTTCAGATAGATATATTCTTTTTCAGATTCTTTTCCATTATAAGTTGTTTAGAAGGGATTAGATATGGTTTCCTTTTATATAGCAGTGTGTATCTGTTAATCCCAAACTCCTAATCTATGCCTTCCCTTACCCCTGCTTTCCTGTTTCACAGCTACAGGTTTGTTTTTCTATTTTTGTGAGTCTGGAAGGACCTAGAGATGATCATATTGTGTGAAATAAGTCAGGCAGAGAGAGACAAATATCATGTGATATCACTTATATGTGGAATCTAATAAAAATGATACCAGTGAACTTACTTATATTGATCATTAAAGTCAGTAAACACAGCACCATGGCTTAGCTAGTTGACTTAGATTTTAGAATAATTCCTAGCAAGAATATTTGCTTTGAAAGAAATAGATGTTCCTGCTGACAATCATCTTAGAAAGAAATTACTCCTGGGATGAAGGCAAGGGACAAGAAGAGGAAATAAGAGGTATTTTTTTTGGAATGGTATCAAATTAGCCCAGACTTCAAGTTGTGAAGATACCCAGAGTATTTCTGGAGGGATCTACCCTTGGAAAATTGGAGGGAGGTCAGAAGCAAGGCAGGGATTTTGCTCAGAAAATTTCTAACATCAGATCAGGCTTTGGGAAATAGTTCAGAAGGCCTGGAGCCATGATGAAAGTGAAAGTGAAAGTCTCTCAGTCATGTTTGACTCTTTGCAATCCCATGGACCATACAGTCCAAGGAATTCTCCAGGCTAGAATACTGGAGTGGGTAGCTGTTCCCTTCTCCAGAGGATCTTTCCAACCCAGGGATTGAACCGAGGTCTTTTGCATTGCAGGTGGATTCTTTACCAGCTGAGCCACAAGGGAAGTCCTGATAATACAGAATAATACCAGTCAGGTAAATGGCAGCTTTTTGTTTGTCAATTTGGAGAATAAAAAACTCTCTTTGTTCAGATCTGGAGGAGATGTTGGAGATCTAAACTGGCATTGGAGCTTTGGTTTACTTTTCAACTAGGAACCTGGCAGCCATTCTGGGCACTCCCAGATGATGGTAGTTGTTATTTTAGTTTGAGAACAAGCCCTACTTGGACCCTCAAGTCTCTCTGTGCCTGGAATAAACCATGTCTCTATTCTCATGATCTCATTTAGAACAACAGAACATGTCTTTGTCTGAACAATGCTGTGCATCCTCCAAACTCTTGAAGACAGGAAGGAGAGACAAATGTGCAAAGGGAACCTGAAAGAGAACAGGAAATCCGTAGGCACATTGCCCTTGTGAAGATCAGCATTGGCAGAGCATCTCCAGGGTGATGATACTCTGTGTGAAATGCCAGGGTCCCCTCCTCCCAGTGGGAAATCTAAAACGGGTGACCAAAGGTCAATATCAAACCTGAGCTGTCTGGGGAGATACAGCTTCTGGACACAGAACCTCGCTGAGGACAGAATCCTCCCCTAACTGAGCCATTGGAACTATGCTTTTAGAATCATGACTGCAATAAAAATAAAATCTACAGTTGTGCCACTGTTTGTCTAGGCTTATGTTGGACTGACTGGAAGGCCTCTATTCCCTTCTGTACACCTGGAGAAGTTCCTGTAAGAGAGAGCCTCAAGGAACGACATTACACTAGAAGGGAAGATCCGAGGGCAGAGTGTTCTTAGGCAGGGGGAATAGCACACATTGAAACCCAGTGAGGGGGTGCGTGTAGATCACAAGGGGAAGTAGAGAAGTGGCCAGCTATTTTCAATATATCTATGAGGCACATGCTGGCACATGTACTGGTAGTAATAATATCAGTAGCGTGCGTGCTCAGTCGTATTCAACTCTTTGCGACCCCATAGACTGTAGTCCACCAGGTTCCTCTATCCATGGAATTTTCCAGGCAAGAGTACTGGAGTGGGTTGCCATTCCCTTTTCCCAGGGATTGAACCCAGGTCTCCTGCGTTGAAGACAGATTCTTTACCATTTGAGCTACCAAAGAACCTCATAAAACTGGCACTGGCGTCTTAAGGCCATTCTCCTAATGGCAAATGATACTAAACATCTTCACTTCAGTTCAGTTCAGTCGCTCAGCCGGTCTGACTCTTTGCGACCCCATGAATTGCAGCACGCCAGGTACCATGTGCTTATTTGCTTTCCATTTATCCTCTTCAGTGAAATATCTGTCCATGACTTTGGCCTAGTTTCTAATTGATTTGTTTTTTACTGGTGAGTTGTTTTTATTTTTTAACTATGTGTGCATGCATATATTCTTCTTAAAATTCTTTTCCCATTTAGGTTATTACAGGATATTGAGCAGGGTTACCTGTGCTATACAGTAGGTACTTTTTGATTATTTATTTTAAATATAAGAATGTGTGCATGTCAATCACAAATTCCCAATCTATTCTTCTTTGCTCTCCTTCCCCTCTGGTAACCATAAGTTCATTCTCTAAGTCTGTGGGTCTGTTTCTGCTTTATAAATAAGTTCATTGTATCATTTTTCTTTTTAGATTCTGCATGTAAATGATATTATATATTTGTCTTTCCCTGTCTGACTTTATGTATGATAATCTCCAGGTTCATCTATATTACTGCAAATGGCATTCTTTCTTTCTTTTTAATGGCTGAGTAATATAGTCCATTGCATGCAATGAAATATATATAAATATATATATCACATTTTTTTATCCATTCAACTGTCAAAAGACATTCAGGTTGCTTCCAGGTCTTGGCTACTGTAAACAGTGCTGTAATGAACATTGGAGCATGTGTATCCTTTCTAACAGTGTTTTTCTCTTACTGATGAGTTTTGAGAGTTCTTCTAACATTCTCAGTACAAGTCCTTTGTTATATACATAGTTTGCAAGTGCTTTCTTTCACTCAATAACTTATCTTTTCACCTTCTTGACAGACTCTTCCACAGGACAGAAGTTTTACTTTTGATTAAGTCCAATCTCAATTTTATTTTTTATGGATAATACTTTTGGTGTCAAATTGAAGGACTCTTCATCCGACCTTATATCATGAGAATTTTCTTTTTTTTTTCCTAAATGATTTATAATTTTATGTTTCACAATTAAGTCTGTGATCCAGTTAAAGTGAATTTTTGTACTGAATGTGAAATTTAGGTTGATGTTCACTTTTCTGCCTATGGATGTCGATTGTTCCTGCCACATTTCTTATAAATGCTAACCTTCCACTATTTAATTTAAAAAAAATACTAAGCACTGTGTTGATCTCTTCTACATGACTTATCATACGCAAATGTCACGTGGAAATACATCATTCCTTCCACTCTCTTCCCTTCATTGCTCACTTCAGCAACTGTATTTAAGCAAACATATAACTCTGAAAAGGATGATCATATTGGATTGGTGTTATTAGATGTTCTAATGCTGAGCAGCTAAGTAGTCATAAGTATACAACTGCATACTGAGCAATTATTTCACCAGTAAAATATTTTACTTATTGTTTCAACAGTAAAATCACTAAAGAGTAGGTCTACATGTTTTCAGTTTGGGTAACTGTGTGTCTAGAATGCCTGAGACTAAGTTGATCTTGGAAAGAGGCTACATTAATTTATTTGAACATCCAACTCATAGAACAAATGTGTGGCTACCTAGGTACCTAGATTGGATACCTGGTCACTGGCTAATGAGCTGGAAGCAGGAGATTGAATAACTATATGACTAATTCAAAAAGGAAAAAGAAAAAGCCTCATCTGGACAATAGAATACCTTAGAAAAAATGTACTATTTGGTTGTTCTTTTATTTACCTTCTTTTAAAAGGGTAACATGCACACACAGTGGTTACCTTGGATCAGGAGAAAATGGGAGGTAGTGGAACAAAGCAGGATCCTGTGGGGCTCCTGGGTACAGAAGCCTTTCTGTGTCCCCAGTTTCTTGTTTGTAGAGAATAGGTTTCAGGCTCCATGACCTTCCCTGAGTTCCAACAGGCGGGTTCAAACAGTTGCTAATCAGGGAAGGGAGGGGATACAGAGACAAGAGAGAAATAGTCAAAGGCTGGTGCAGCCTTGGGGCAGTATCCTGGTTCCAAAGGATACAGATAACAATATCATTGAGCACTTCTGGGGAACTAAAACCCACAACAAAAGGAAGATGTTAATTACTTGATGAAGCATTAGTCATTCCTGAGACAAGATCACAGTTAGCTGACCTCAAGAACCACAGGAAACCACCTGAGGCCAAATTAAAAGGAATGCAGGCCCTAGACTTTATTTTCTTGGGCTCTAGAATCTCTGCAGATGGTGACAGCAGCCATGAAATTAAAAGATGCTTGCTCCTTGGAAGAAAAGCCATGACCAACCTAGACAGCATATTAAAAAGCAGAGACATTACTTTGCCAACAAATGTCCATCTAGTCAAAGCTATGGTTTTTCCAATAGTCTTATATGGATGTGAGAGTTGGACTATAAAGAAA